GTCAGATGCTTAACCGACTGAGCCACCCAGGCACCCCTGGACAGACTTGTATTTAAACCTTAGCATTCAGTTTCTAGCTTTGAAAACTTTGTTATTCAATCTTTAGTCTCATCATTTATAAAAATAAAAATAATAGCAACTTCACAAGGTTTTTGAGGATTGAGTGATATTGGTTGTGTTCAGTATAGTACCAGACACAGTAAGCACTTAATAAATGTTGGTAGCTGTTATTGTCATTGTCACCATCATTGTCATTGTTTGAATCTATAATCATAATTAAAAACAAATCTTTGATACAATTTTATGGTGACACCAACACGAATAAAAGGGGTATGCTGTGTGAACATTTGCTTAATAGTTATAGTTTAAATAAATGTTAATTGAGATATACATTTGATTGCTGATCATAGCTTTGTGTGTGAAATCTAGAAAATTTCTTATTTTACCTACCTAAATAGAACCTAAAAGGTAAATTTCCCTTCTGGAACTAAAGTAGGTAATTGATTACTTTCACATAGTATTATTTTAATTTTAGTTTTAGAAAATATATTGTTAAAAATTTTCAAATATACATAAAAGTATTAAAAATTTAATGAACATCAACCTATAGCTGAAGAAATAACATACATCTATTAGAGTTGAAGTCGCTCTTCACCCAAGTTATATTTATATATGTAGTAACTTAATACGAAATAAGGAATTCCGAAAATCAGAAAATCCTTTGAAGAACAATCTTAATGGCTCTTTAGTCTTTATAAAAAAAAAAAGCTAATAATACTGAGCATGGTAACACATCCGGCAGAATGAATATGTCTTTTGTGAATAATGTACCCTGGAAATCTCATAAACCCTACAGAGCTCGAGTGTGTCACTTCCTCTTCTGATAAATAGCTTCTGAACATTGCATAAGAGCGTGTGCATGTACTTTTGTACCATTTATTTTTCTTCTGTTCTCATTGCCATATTTCAATAGCAACAGAATAATAAATATTATTTACAATGTTCTGTTCATTATGGAAAGGAAGATATCTTTATGAAATAGGTGTATTATAGTTAAGGTTAAATGCTGAATTCTTCTTTGTAAATTTGTGATTTTAATCTTTTGGTTACATGTTTGTATAAACTATCTTAGGTAAAGAAAGGATGTTGTTGCTACATAGAGAAGAAATCTATCTCCATAAAAATCAGCTTGCTAAATTTTAGAATATATTTCTATCCTTCCAATCTTAAAATGACTTAAAAGAAGAGAAAGGTACATGGCAAAAACTGCCTATCTCATAATCTTCACTTTGATATACTGTTTATAATAATTGTGGTTAATTATAAAGAAATAGCCACATTGCCATGTAGAATAATTATTGGTTGTCATTATTGTAATGTAGCTGAAATAATTAATATTTACCAGTTCCTAATGCAGCTGTGTTATAGGACTTAATCACATAGAAACCTGGAGATAATTCTTAGGCAGGCATTCACAGTTTTCAAATCTGAGTAAAGGAAATAATAATGTTGACTGTCCATTTATTCCAATATTATAAGACTTATAGTGTTTTATATCTTCAAGGGTGTGAGGAGGAATCAGTAGGTAGTAGTACCTACTTTATTTCCTACTTTAGTAGGAATCAGTAGTGATTCTAGGTATTTTATTCGACTATAACACTCTTGTTCCAGAAATGAATCTTAAATATAGGGAAAAATGGAAAACAGGATGAGGGTCTCCCTCTCACATTACCTGCTCTCTCCTTCCTCTCTTTTTCTCATTGCCCCCATTCTTCCACTCCACCCTAGAGAGACCAGGCATTTGAATCATACCCAGAGATACTAGCACAGCAGAGATCATGGGTAGTGAAATTATAAATTCTCTGTGTTAATATTTTTATTCTAGTATGAATATTTAACAAATATCAGTATTTGTGTTGTAAGCCTAAAAGATTTTTTAACATGGATTAAGTTAACTTTATAAATCCAGAAACCCCCAAAGTAAGATAATGATTATGGAAAATGTTTACTACCCCACTGACATTATTTATTATACCTAGTTTATAGTACATGAAACAAATACGTAACATAAATAAACCATATCTTGGATCTACATCTTGAAGTTAAAAAAACATTGCCTGTTAGATATAAAGTCTGGTGTTATGAGTTATGGCTGTAGATTGGTTACTGAATTTGGATATACATTGCATGAAATATTTATTATCTAATTCTTTTATATTTATTACAGTTGCTAAGACGTGGAAGTCACTTACCAAACAGGTAGGTTAAAGCTCTTGGTGTCATATACATGCACACTATGTATATGCATACCCACTTTGGAAAATTGTTTGGCGTTATCTTCTAACACTAAAGATACACATACACTATACCTAGCAGTTCTACAACAACATACATATGTGTACTAGTAATGTTAAGCTTGAATATACTCTATGTTCTAGTAATTTTACACTAATGTGTGTACATAGAGAAGCTTATGCTTTCAGGAGAGATTCACAGGAATACTATTAGATTATTCATAATTGACCAGAAAGACTACAATATATCAATAGTAGAAGTGATGAATAGGCTTTTACATATTCATACAGCAGTTGCTATACCAAGTGAAAACAAATGAATTATACCAGTGCTTAAACTCGATGAATCTTGGAAATGTAATGACAAAGTAAGCAATTGACAAATATATAAATTACAAAACTAGGGGGGAAAATCATAGTGTTTAAGAATGCAGTCATTGGTGGGAAAACCAAGGAATGATAAATTTAAGACATTATTTACCTCTGGGAAAGATGGAGGGGAATATCATAAGTAAGAGCTACAAAGAGGTACTGGTAGTTTTCTGTTTCTTAACAGTTTCTACTTTATTTTTAAAAAATTTTTTTTAATGTTTATTTACTCTTGAGACAGAGACAGAGCGTGAACAGGGGAGGGGCAGAGAGAGAGGGAGACACAGAATCTGAAACAGGCTCCAGGCTCTGAGCTGTCAGCACAGAGCCTGACACAGGGCTCAAAGCCACGAACTGTGAGATCATGACCTGAGCCAAAAGTCGGACGCTTAACCGACTGAGCCACCCAGGTGCCCCAACAGTTTCTACTTTAAATTTTAATATATTCTTTTTGTACTTTTAAATGTATGATAAACTTCAATATTAAAAAAATCAGTATTAGTATAGCATTCTAGGGAACTTCTTTAAACAGTTAAAGAGAACCCTCCCAAAGCCTGTAGCAAATGCAATGTTTACATGTGAAACTTTAGACATTCTCTTTAAAATTATGTATGATATAGGGGTGCCTGAGTGGCTCAGTCGGTTAAGCATCCGACTTCAGCTCAGGTCATGATCTCATGGTCCATGAGTTCAAGCCCTGCGTCAGGCTCTGGGCCGAAAGCTCAGAGCCTGAAGCCTGCTTCAGATTCTTTCTCCTTCACTCTCTCTCTCTGCCTCCAATCCACTTGTGCTCTCCTTCTCTCTCAAAATTAAATTAATATTATAGTAATAATAATATAAATAAAATTAGATATGATATAAATATGTCTCCTATCACAACTGCTAGCTCCCTGTTTTACTACAGATTGCAGCTAAAGCTGTCTATTAATTTGCTAGGGCTGCTGTAGCAAATACCAAAGTTTGGGTGGCTTAAATGACAGAAATTTATTTTCTCATGTTTCTGAAAGCTGGAAGTTCAAGATCAAGGTGTTGGCAGCATGGGTTTCTTCTGAGGCCTCTCTCCTTGGCCTGTAGGTGGCCATCTTCTCCTCTGTTATCCTCACATGTTGTTGTTCTGTGCATGTCTGTGTCCTGATGTCTTTTTATAAGGACACCAGTCATATTGGATTAGGACCCACCATAATGACCTCACTTAACAATCTTAATTACCTTTTTAAAGGCCCTTTCTCAATACAGTCACATTCTGGTATACTGAGAATTATGACTTCAAATGTAAATTTGAGGTGGACATAATCCAGGCTATCACATGTAGTATGACAAGAAGAAAGAAAGAGGTTCTAAGGATTAGCACAGTAGGAAGCCATATGATTTAGATAAAAATGTAAAAATATAGGGGCGCCTGGGTGGCGCAGTCGGTTGAGCGTCCGGCTTCAGCCAGGTCACGATCTCGCGGTCCGTGAGTTCGAGCCCCGCGTCGGGCTCTGGGCTGATGGCTCGGAGCCTGGAGCCTGTTTCCGATTCTGTGTCTCCCTCTCTCTGCCCCTCCCCCGTTCATGCTCTGTTTCTCTCTGTCCCACAAATAAATAAACGTTGAAAAAAAAAAATTAAAAAAAAAAAAATGTAAAAATATATAGATTTTCAAATGTATTCAAATTTAGTAAACGTTTAGCAAGGTTGCTGCTGAGTATAAGATCAATTAACCAAAATTAATAAAATGTTTCTGCACCAGCGATAGCAATTAGAAGGTGCACTGTCAAATAAGATACTTTTCACAATAGCAACAAAAACTATTACTTTGTGTACCTAACAGAAGATGTGCAAGACATTGTTATATTTTTTAAAAGATATGAATAAACCGAGAAATAGATCATGTTCATGGATGATTCATTTGGAAGAGTAAGGATCCAGAATTTTCAGAACAATTCTGAAAAGAAAGGAGAGGAAAACATCAGGATGAGAATAATTGGGCCTGTGTCATATTAAGATTAATAATAGAGTTATAATTAAAATAGTATTGTATTATTGCAAGAGTTTTTTAATTAGATGAAAATAATAGAATATAGAGTTCATAAACAGACCCATGCATATATGGAAAGATCTGTAAATCACTAGAGAATGAATTGACCTTTAGATACTGAAACAATAGTCTTTCCAACATGGAGGCAAACAAATTAAATACTAAACTGATCACCATATACAAAAGCAAATTTCAGATGGATTAAGTTCTTATTTTTGACAAACAAAAATTCTGAAATATTAGAAGTAAAATAAGGGATACAAGAGGATTCTTTAGATAAGACACAAAGCAAAGCTCAAAGGATATTTGGGCAAATTTTATTAAATATGAAAAGCTTTGGCATACCAAAAGAGCATCAACAATGCTAAAAGATGTATGATAGATGGGAGAATATGCTTACAGTGTATTAACAGAAAACATTGAGTGCCTTGTACTCATCTAGAACTCCTGTAAATCAATAGAAGAAAGATAGCCAGCTCAATAAGAAAAAAATGAGTAAACATAGAATGGCCAATAATATATGTAAAGGAGCTCAGCCTCACTACTAATCAGGGATATGCAAATTAAGCCAATAATATGTTGCTATTTCACACCCGTCAGATTATCAGCTGCCAGAAATCTCACAATACCAGTAATTAGCACCGACAAGAAGAAGAAAGAACCAAGGTAGAATGCAAATTTGTATATTCACTTTTGAGAGAAATTTGTCAATATCTAATAAAGTTGAAAATATATAATCAAAAGCTCTACTTCTAGAGATGTATACTAGAGAAATAGTTACACCAGCAGTCCTGTACATGTTTTCTGTTTTCTTCTTTCTGCAGCATCAGTTGTAACAGCCAAAACACACAAAAAAAAACAATATAAATGTTAGTTAGTTGAGAAATGAATAAAAGAATGGTCACCGAGGCATATCAAGGACAAATTCAATGTGTAATACACAACTATGGTGAATAAATACATTAGAGCTATAGGTATCAACGTGAGCCAAGATCAAGAGTTGGACGCTTTACTGACTGAACCACACAGGCGCCCCTGCAATATAATTCTGATGCTACCCATCCAAAGTTAGTTTCAGACTCCATAGATTTAAGGACACAGTCCCCAACAAGACTGCTCTCATTTCAGATGCCTCATGCAAGTTCAAGTGTCCCGAGGCCACCCACACTTCTGACCAACTGGCTACAAATCCAAGAGGTTCCTGTAATTCTCCTCAAGTTCAGTAATTTTCTAGACTGACACAAAACTGACAAACATTCCGTATTTATTAACAGTTTATTCTAAGTGCCACAAGTCAGGACTAGCCATATGAAGAGACTCCTCGGACAGGTATAGGAGGATCCGAAACACATGCCTTCCGTGCCCTCTCCCCACCTCGCACATCGGCGTGTTCACCAACCTGAAATCTCCACTGAGCTTGGGCGTTGAGTTTTTATTGAGGGTTTCATTATCTAGGTATAATTGGTTCATTGGCCAAGTGATTGAGCTCCATCTCTAGTCCCTTTTCCTACCCCACCCCAGAAGTCAGGAGAGCTCAAAGCTCCAACTCTCTGATCCCACTGTGATTCCTTCTGACAGTCAGCAGCCCACCCTGGGTGTGACTCAAGGATTCAGAGTCTCCTAGGAGCCAGGGGCAAAGGCCAAGCAAAGCATTTATTACACAGCACCACTACCTATAAGAGACCAAGATAGGCACTGAATGGAGAGGGAGATTCACATTCCGAGTGGAAATACAGATTTTAATACATTTTAAAACTTCTTAAAGTCAACAGGAGACAAAGATCAGTGTGTTAATTGGATAATCTAGACCAGAAGAACATGAATTATTACTAAAGTAAACTGCTTGGTCAGTAAGGATCTGGCCCATCATTTAGAAGTTGTGTGACCTCGGGTGAATTTCTTATTCTTTTTAAGTCTCAGTAAAATATGCAGAATGAGGTTTGTTTTTTAAAATTAAATGAGAGATTGTATTAGCCCATTGTTAGGCACATGGAGGGCACTCAGAAAAAGGTAGCTATGATTTTTTTGATTGTAAACTCAAGTGGAGTTTAAACTAGAAGAGATGGAATTGAATACATGGAAATAGTTAAAATGGAGGAGTGAATATTTGTTTAATAGATACGGTATACATTAAAGTGTGTATAATTCCGTTGAGATAACACTACAACGGAAATGAAAGCAGGGTTCACAGATGGACTTCAGGGAAAACCCCTAAAAATAACTCTCCCAGGGATTCTTTATTTGCCTGCTAACTCAGCTTTGTAATGAAAAAAAAAAAAAGTTTATAATGTCACAGAATATTTTTAGATACAACCGCATCAGGAAGGATTTGTCTAAAGTGTTTCTCAAAGTGTAATGTGTAAAAAAAAAAAAAAAAAAATCACCTGGAGTTCTTACTAACAATACAGATTCTGTTTCAGTAGGTCTGGGAACTGAGACCTCCTTTTCTTACAAGCTCCCAGGTTATGCCTGGGGTATTGGGGAACCATCGTTGTGTAGCAAGAATCAGGTCTGGAATATAGAAGTGGTTTCTAGTGTTCTTCAGTGTGTTACTTAGCAGACTACCTTTTTTATTTCAAATTATTTCAATTTATCTTACCAAATCCCTTAATAATTTTTCTTCACAATTAACCAAAATATAATTTTCATTTAATTATTTTTAACTAAGTATTAACAATAAATTCAGAATTCCTTTGGTGTCTGAGCAGTGATTCAAATGTTTAAATTTTCAAACTAGTTGCCCAACCTGCTGTGATAGTTTGATTTTAAAAAGGAGACTAAGCAATTGCAGTCTGTGTTTTTTACTGAATATTTAAGTTAAAATTAGAAAAAAAAATTGAAAGTGGCCACCATAACTCAGTACCCTTGCACTCCTGCTTCATCTGATGTCACCATTCTTTGAGTCACTACTAAAATATTACTCATTCTTTCCCAGTATGACCGTCTGTCCATTTACTTCTTCCAGCTCCTTAAATCCAAGACGGCTACAGAGAAGAGACAGTATGTGAAGCCAGGTCACCATCTCTGACCTTGATAAGGAAATCCACCTTAATTATGGCTTTCATGAAACTCAGTGTTTTATCTTAAATTGATTTTTTTTATATATATTCTTCCAGTTGCTAAACTTATCTTAAATTTTTGATAGCTCTAATTGAATTTAACTTAGCTTCTTTATTATTTATTTTATGGTTAGACTGTGGGCAAATACTAAGTTTTGTGGTTGAATGAACCACAGGTATAGAATAGAATAAATACAGCCATGTCTCAGGTCCTTTAAGTGAAGAATTTTTTTGCATAGGCATTTAAATACTTTTTGTTTATTTTATAAGTAAGTGGTTTACCATTAATATTATGATACCTTATGTCATAGGAATTAAATCAAATGCTCTCAGAAACACCACCAGTTTGGAAAGGATCCTCAAAGCTTTTTCGCAATCTTAAAGAAAGAGGTAAATTAACTTTAATACTTATGCATTTTTAAATGGACACTATATTATTTATACTATTTATATATATTTTTTCCTCATACTTAAAGTAATTTTATTCATGTGTGTATGTGTGTGTGTGTGTGTGTGTGTGTGTGTGCGCGCGCGCGCGCATAGAGAAAAAACTGAAAAGAAAAATAGTAAAATATTAATACTGATTGTTTCTGGGTAGTGGGATTAAAGGTGGTTCTTATTTTTATATATATTATTCATGTCTTTCAAATTTTTTACAACAAAATGAACCTTCATAGTATAAAAAATTATTTTTTAACTATATTGAGAAGTGTAGGTTAGCGGCGCCTGGGTGGCTCAGTCGGTTAAGCATCCAACTTCGGCTCAGGTCATGATCTCCCAGTCCGTGAGTTCGAGCCCCGCGTCAGGCTCTGTGCTGACAGCTCAGAGCCTGGAGCCTGCTTCAGATTCTGTGTCTCCCTCTCTCTCTGACCCTCCCCCGTTCATGCTGTCTCTCCCTGTCTCAAAAATAAATAAACGTTAAAAAAAAATTTTTTAAAAAGAGAAATGTAGGTTATATTTACTTACAAAAGCATTTCTTAAAAATACTGATCTCCAACTATTTTTCTTCCTTCCATTTTACTTCCAGGCAACTATAGATATTTAAAAATTTAATCAGTATGAAAAACTTATTGGATGTCTTTTGGCCACCCAGTTTGAACATGTTTCTTTTAAAAACAACACTCACTGCAAAATCCCACCTGTTTCATCATACTATCTTAGCTATATCTATTTGTCTAAGTCATGGATTCATACACTTCCTTGCAATCAAATTATACTGATTTTATTGCTGTTTTCTTTGACACTGTACTTTTTGTTCATATTTGTAGAAAACACTAATTAACAAAATCTCTTTAATCTTACAAAGTAATTTTTCTTAAAAATACACTTTTTAACATGCTCAAGTATAAGAGTATATAAAATAAAAATGTTAAAGAAATTATATGAACAATTATTGGTTTGAAAATAATTATAGTATACTCTAGCATGAAGACCAGTATTTTAAAGGAATAGTTATAGTCTATATATTTTATCTGAGTAGAATTAGAAATTCAAATTGCTTTCACCTAGTTGACATGGAATCTGAAAGGAGTAGACACTTTACCTTTTATTGTAGGATTTTTCATAACTAGGGTTTTAAAATTAGGGCCATGGTATCTTTAAAGCTCTTAGAAATTTTTTCCTAGAAGTTGTCTTAAAGGTCATTCAAATCTTAGGGTGGGATGATAGAATCAGGAAAATTCAAAGCTCAGAAAAAGAAGTTAGCAAATTTAAAAATATTTACTTAATACTTCTAGTGGGAAAATACAAATTGGATCAAGTATAATCTAAGAAAAATAAATGCATGGAAGAAGGAAATTCTTTGTAGCTAAGGAGAGCTTTAAATCTGGAAGCCCTAGGTTTAGGCCTGTCCTAATCTTCTTTATGTTGTATGCATATTAGCATGTTTTTCGAGGGACATGAGCTATTCAGTGCTCTCCCACAGAATTATCTGTATAGTGATGGAAATGTTGTATTTCTGTCTTGTCTCCCATAGTATACTGCCCTTAGCCCCATGTGGCTTTTAAGGATCTGAAAATGTGGCTACTGTAACTGAGGAAGTAAATGTTTTATTGTGTTTAATTTTAATTGTTTTAAGTTTAGGTAGCCACATCTGGCCAGTGGCTACCCTGTAGGACAGTGCAGAGCTGTGTCACAGTGATTGGATTATTGAAGCAATCCTTATACCCGAAAAGTTTTAGAACCTTTAGGTTAGGCGAAGTAGAGTGTTACAGGCAGCCTTGCTTTTTTTATAAATAGGTTTAAGTGGCAAAGGAATTTTAAAGCTAAATCTTTAGAGCTATTAAAGATTAGTTTACAAGTGAATTATCTGCTTAAAATATTTCCCAGCAAGAAAATGCAGTTTTACAAAAAGTTAATTGAAATGCAACATTTACGAAAGCATTATCCAGACTTAGTCATAACAGCCAACTGTAGTGCATCATAATAGAGGAACTAAATAGTATAATGTTTTTAAGGAACTTCCCTTAGAAGTTTTTTTGTTGAATTTTCAAAAGAAACCTAGTTGGCATCTTTCTTACCCTCTTTTGTAAAGATCACAGCATTACTATATGCTTAGCATATGTATTTATTTTATTTTACTTTTTGATCTTGGGTGGCCTTAAAATAAATTGAAGGGCCAGTTTAATAGTTTTCCATTTTTGTAATTGGAAAGCATTAGCATTAAGAAGTTAGAGTTCATGTTTAGTAGTATTTTCTCTTTTCCTTGATCATTTTTATTAAATTATATCATGAGCTTCACTTTGTTCTCCATGCCTGTGGATTACACCACCTCAGAAACCATTTGGTCCTACAGACGGGTACCTACCATGATAATTGTGATCAGTGCTCTCACTGTTAAGAAGTAATCATTCCCTGAGGGAAACCTTGAGTTAATTATCAAATAAAAGATGTGTAGTAGTTATTAGACTTCTTTATCCCAACCAGCATCTCTGTATTCCACCAGGTCAGTCAGAACGACAGTCAGTGAGATGGGATTGTGAAGACATAGAGCTTCCTTTCCCATCCCATTTTCCTTTCTGTTTCTCTTCCTTTCTTCCTTTCTCCCTTTCTCTCTTTTTCTCTTTCTTCTTTTTTCTTTTCTCTCTCTCTCTTTGTTTCTTTTTTTTTTTTTTTTTTTTTTTTTTTTTTTTTTATGAGGGATCCCTATGGAATCTAGGTATTGTATCTTTATATACGTTGGCCATTCCAGAATCTTTCTCCCATAACATTCATGGCAGTCAACCAGAACTATCTGTCTATAGGTCACAATATTGTAGTATAAACAAAAGAAGGGAATGCTTTCACAGGGCTTCTAGCTAGTTCCCTTCAAGTCTTCTGACAAACTGCCTGACAGTGACTCCTGTCCTCTTTGTTCTGTAACAAAGAGGGGAGCCTCAAAGAGCATCAGGGAAAATGGAGTTTCAGGGTTCACGATCTGATTATTTAAGGATTTTTGTATACCCTTTTACCAAACTTTAGGACTATCTGATATCTGGAGAAGTGTTAATTGACTTATTCCTGACTGTGATTTTCTCAGGATCCTCTTGGAAATTCAGTGAAGCATGAATTCTAGTTTGGGGCGCTATGCCCAAAAGTAAGAATTTGAGTAACAGAATATATATCTTTATTTACTCTGAACACCTTTTGAACTTTGTAATTCTGGGATTATAGAGAACTCGGGATGCAGTATTCAGAAAGTGTAAGCCATTTAATTAAAACAAAAATTTCTTAAGAGTACGTTTAATAGAAGCATTAAGTTTGTCAAGAATAATGATAACTTGAAAGCAGACAGTTTCATTTTTTAAGCAGTACAGAAATTAGATTTGTAAGCAAGAATATCTAAATGTTTTTTTCTGAAAGTTTAAGCACTTTACAGTTTAGCTTTTTTATTTTATGCTAGATTCATCCATTGAAGACTAGCAGCAAGTTTACAGCTAGCTATAAGTAAACATTGTAATTTTGCTTTCCTTGTCAAAATATCTAGGAGCATTAATGGGAATTTTACATGGGTTCTACAGAGGCATTGTGAAACAAATTAAAATTTGGGGTTTTTTTGCTGTGATTTTAGAATAGTTTAGTCTTGCCTAAAACAGTACTTAGCATGTTCTTTAAAGCGGTAAGTTCCTTATCAATATTGCATATTATAATAATATTTTACTTGCTAAATATAAAGTAATATTTTATATATAGCATTACTAATACTATTTTTCTTCTAGGTGTGATTTCTTACACAGAATATCTTTTTCTCTTGTGTATTTTAACAAGTAAGTGTACTCATAAGTCTATTTTTGGATCCATTTTTCTTTTTTAATCGGAATCTTGGAAAACAAATCTTAGATTCTCCTACTACTGAAAATCAGTTTAGGTTTATCCATGGTTATTTTGCAAAAATCAGCAAATGCTAAGCATAGCACTATCAAGAGGCAAAAACGTAACTATTTTTATGGGTTCTGGAATAGTAATAAAGTGCTCATAAGTTATAAATTTTACATCATATATCAATCCTTGTGGTTTAATCTACATGAAAGCCTAAAGATCAGGTCAGATGGCAATTTGTAAATTTCCTGCCACCCTCACAGAAATCACATATTTTCTAAGACTAGCATGAAAGAATGAGTCTTTTAACTAGTGAGTGTGTCACAATACCCATCATTATCCTAGAACAGCTTTGTTACTCTCTTGCTCTCGTATGCAGCAGTTTTTATGAAATCTACAGAGGGTTTACTCGTGTTTTTAGTTAAATTTCATTGCATTGAATGCAGGATCTTACCTGCTCTAGTTCACTGTGCTCCAGCCACCTGGCTTTTGTGTTCCTTGAATTCTCACCTCAGGAATTTGTACTCTCTGCTCTTTCTGCCATCAGTGCTTCTCTCCTCAAGATCCTCATGATAACAAACATTATCCAGGTTTCTTTTGAAATGTCAAATGTGAACCTTTCCTGACCATCCTCCCTCTCCTACCGCTCCCTTTTTCTCCCTTTACGGTGCTTTATTTTCTTCATAGCACTTAAAACTATTTGAAAGGATTCGTTTATTGGTTTATGTGTTCTTGTCTTTCTCCCCATACTTGAATGCAAGGTCCATGATGGCAAAGGTTTTCTCTTTTTTGTCCATTTCTGTATCAAGAACAGTGTCTAGCACATGGTCACCTCTCAAAAAACTAGCTGGTGAATGAGTGAAAGAGAGTAAATGAAAGAATATCGCTAGAGGGATTTCTGTTTGTGGGGATATGTGGAGATGTATGGGAACAAGAGTATCAGTGAAACTCTGTCGTTAGAAACAAGTCATAAAATTCCTTGTACCTCTCTGATCAGAAAATTCAGAGCCACTTTGTTACTCTAAATTTACTAATGAATGGTGTCATGTTGGAGTTCTATCGTAGGAAGTTTGGGGGGGAGTACGTGTGTTTCAAAAATTATCCTTTATTCTTTTTTGCATTTTTTTCTTCCGAACTCAAAATTAAAATGTTGGTGCTGAAGCACGAGAAGTGTTGTATGGTGGTTAGTGGTAATACAACTGTCTGAGGTTGTTTCAGACTGGAAAGCCATTACAATTCAAGCCCAGTCAATGATGAATACTCCGTGAAAATCAAAGGAGTGCCAACCAGTATCTCAGAGACTTGTTAAAAAGCTGTATTGTCAGCTAGAACAACTTTGGTTGCAAAACTATTCATTTGAAATACCTAACACGGCGGAATGATAGGCAAGAATATAACAGAACTGGCTAGGGAAGCCACTTACTGAGATGGGACAGGGTGTGGTTAAATGTGTAAGGAAAACACCTGGTGCATGTGCTTACCTGGAGGGGTTAGGATCCTGGGACACAGTGAATCTTCCTTTGGAGTTCAGGACCCATTTTAGAAACTTGCAGGAATTTCACTGAAAAATTATGGATGTTTTTTAGATCAGAACGAAGACCAAACGTGAAAACAGAGCTGACACAAAGTGGGCTACGGAATCTGTGTTACCTGTCTGTAGTTTTCTCCTCTTTGCTTGTTATTGCTTTAACTTTATTTTCCCTTCCAAGCAGTATGTGTAAGGACTTCCTGTCTGTGTGTTTTCAGGATCATCTGAAAGCTTAAGACTTGGTTATTAGGGATGATGAAATTTTTTATTTCTTTCTCAACTGAATGCTAATGAAAGTAAGTTTACATTCCTAAGCTATAAGCAAGAAATGAGCCTGCATATAAGACTGGCTTCTGTTTCCATTAGAGACAGCTATTACCAGTTAAGAAAGTAGGGTAACGTGCTTCTCTTTTGCTAGCTTCAAGGTTTTACAACAGGTAAATACCAAATGTATCTGTGGGAGGCCTCTCTTCCAAACTTTTGGCACGCCATCTCAAAAGAAAGGGTCAGATGTTTCTAAAAGGCATGTGTACTGAGCTTCTCTTTGAAGGACACGTTCAAGTTTTCTTCTTTATGCTTTAGAAGGGAAAAGATATTGAACCTTCTTATAAGATTCATAACATTAAAGCAGCTCTTAGTGTGTAAAAGTATGTCTTTCTCAGAAAAGCAATTGTTCCTTGTATTTGGGGGGAATTGAGAATTATTCAAGCCTCTTTTATTTGATATTTCTGTTTTTGAGGCTTCTAGAGGTTTAAACTCAGATATGTAATATCTTGTGCTTGACATTTATTTTCATAGGTCGTTTGCACAATAATTTCCCTAAGAATTACAACTGGTCCATTGTGTCATGTTTTAACTTTTTTCTTTCACTCCAAGTAGTTGAACATATGCGATGATTTGATATTTCCCTTTAAAAAAACTGACAGACTTTGGATAACAAAAAGAAGTATTTATTTTTGCAAGTAAGGTAGTTAAATTTTACTGTCTGTGCTATGCAACAGTTACCACACAAATACTTCTAGAGTGTATTATCAATTTTGTTACTAAGTGTGCTAATATAGGAAGCAGAAATATGTATACATACATAGCTTTTCTTATATTTAACTAATAGTAACATGCTGCTTTTAAATCCTTGGTTAAAGAAAGTATTTTTGTACAGTATATACATAACTGCTTACAACTGTACTTTATAAACATTTTTCCATTTCACAAGTACTTTTCTATTTTTTCTGGCAGAGCCACATGCAGGATTTAGAATAGCTTTCAACATGTTTGACACCGATGGTAATGAGATGGTGGACAAAAAGGAATTTTTGGTGGTATGTATATTATATGCTGCATTTTATCAGTAGTTAAGTATTGAATATTTATATTCTTATGTTTTTGCATTATTTGAAATAATGTGGAAGGAAGAGTGAAAAAATTATGCTTTCACCTTAATTTAATAAAGAAGTATATTCTTATGTACTTTAAGTAATTTTCATATTAAAAAATATATAAATTATATTCATTATATAAAGGTGATTATAGTTACACGCTTTCTGAGCATTTGAAATGAGCCTGATATTTCCCAGTGGGTGGGTAACGAGCAGTCTGGGGGTGTTGTCTGTGCTCAGTTATCCTCAGACCCCATCTTCTCAGTGCCCCCAACCACAGCTTTTTGCCACAGGAACTTCCCTTCCTTCTCATGATCGGATCTGTGGTTTTTCTTTCTGCTTTTCTCTTCCATTTATCACTGCCTTATGTTCCGGTCTGGTCCCCATTTTCCTATTCCCTTCTCCTGTCTTTGAATGAGGTCTGATGTAAAGTGGGGAGAGTAAGATTGTTCTTAGGTATTCACCTTCAGTCCCGACCGACACAGGACTGGTGCTGGTGTGGCAACATCACAGCTGCTCACTCATCTTACCACCTCCCACTTCTAGAATCTTCTATTTCTTTTCACCCAGGGATTCTGCATCTACTTCTATGTCAAAAATGTCTGTTTTTCTCCCCTCAAAGTAGAGATCCTTCCAGTAACAAGATATACACCCTTAGCCCCTAGTAAAAAGAAAAGAGAAAGATGGCATATAAATAGCCATTTTGTTTTATATTTTCCTTTGTAACCAGCCATTAAAAATCCCTCAAAAAACCTCTTAAACAGCTTAGTATTTTCCTCAGAGGCTGGAACATGGAAGAGAAACTATGAAATCATTCTTTTCTGTGGTAGGAAAGAGAAGAGATAAAAATCCTTGTCGAAAGCTAACTAGTAGCCATTCAAAAAGAAGCAAGCCACTACTTGCTGGGATCTGTCCCATGGCTTCCTCTAACACCCATGCAGCCCTCGCTCAGACAGTCCCTGAACCAGGCCATTGGACCGGGAACCACAACAGACCCCTCATTCCAGTGTTTTTCAGGATGATGGGGGGGAGGGGGGTATGAGTTTTCAGGTTCAGTGCAAAGATAGAGATATGTTCCTACCATCCTGAAGTCAACAGATTTAGTTTAATATGGTTTTGTTGGGGCGCCTGGGTGGCGCAGTCGGTTAAGCGTCCGACTTCAGCCAGGTCACGATCTCGTGGTCCATGAGTTCGAGCCCCGCGTCAGGCTCTGGGCTGATGGCTCAGAGCCTGGAGCCTGTTTCCGATTCTGTGTCTCCCTCTCTCTCTGCCCCTCCCCCGTTCATGCTCTGTCTCTCTCTGTCCCAAAAATAAATAAACGTTGAAAAAAAAAATTTAAAAAAAAAATATGGTTTTGTTATGATAGCATAAAACTCCATTTTAGGACTTTCAGAATGGGCCTAGTACTCTAAATAATTTTTAATAAACTTTCTGTAGAAACTTCCAAGTTCTACCCCATTGATTAAAAGATTAACTTTTGGAACTCAGTCCATTGAAAGTTGCCTGTATAGAGATGTCCTTTGGAAAGCTGTCTGTGGAGACGGGAGGTGAAAACGTTCATGCAGGACCACGGCTTCTGCTCTTTACTCTTGTGAAAGCGACGGTGTGCTCCTTGCCTTTGTGGTGGCTGTACTGCTGCCTCAGGTGTGATGGGTTTTGTTTGTTGTTTTAGTTTGTTTGTCGACAGCAAAGAATTCCTGAAAGAAGGAGGTAGAGTTGAGCTAACTTAGTTGTTAGAGTCTAAAATCTAGGATTATCCTGCCTATTTATGAAATGACTATTAATAACCTTTGCTGAAAACTCTTTTCACAAAGAAAAAGTGTGGAGATAAATGTACTTGTTCACAAAATCATTTATATTATGTACTGTATTTGTGTTATTACCTATGTTGGGAGGTAATACATTTCATCTGACTTTCAACTATTGCCTTACGAAATGAAGAGTTGAGATCGCTGTTCAGGTTACACAGACAAGAATACTGACCTCACCAGAAAGCTGTGATAGAGGTAGGATTAGGCTTCCCTTTGTAAAATAGAATTTTAAAGAGGAAATAACAGTATTAATAATAATAAATGACATCTCTTGAGAAGTTACTCTGTGACAGGCAATGTGCTGAGTAACTATGTGTAATATTTACTCTGCACAACATTCTTACAAGACCTGGCGATTACACCTCAATAAAGCTGGAGAAAAAAAAATATTCCTGTAAGGGAAGGAGTTAGCTCCTTGCTCTGGATGTGCAAAACATTCCGTGAATGATTAGACTAACTTACTCAAGGGGTTATAGGCAGAGCCCTTGCTCCCACCAGCATTCGGTTACCTGAAAATGACTTCCGAGGCCATCTCATTCCACGTGAGCAAACTGGGGCCTCGTGAGGGATGAGTGACCTGTTCACCATCATGAAGTTAGTGACAGAAGATGGGCTCCAACCCACAATCCTGAATTCTGTTCCAGTTTTCTTTATACCCCAGTAGGCTTTTTTATTTGTGGGTCACAGACTCCCTGTCTCTATGTCTTAGAGACAAAGTAAAGCTATAATCTTGTACATTTAACTTAACCATAGGTTGCCAGTAGCCAAGGGTGTGTTTTCTTTTTCTCAGGAAAAAAAAAATTGGTACCAGAAAATATATCTGTAGCAGTATGAATGTTCTCGGTAGATGTTTTTAGAATATACCTAGCACAGGGTGGTAAGTGGGGCTCCGGAAACTCACTGGATATTTGATTCTTGATCACTTTCTTTGTCAGCTTCAAGAGATATTCAGGAAAAAAAATGAAAAGAGAGAAACTAAAGGAGATGAAGAAAAGCGTGCAATGCTGGTAAGAATAATTTATGGTAGTTTCAGGTGGGCCTGCTAGCTGAGAGTCGTTTTATTCGTGCTGAGAAACAAGAACTACAGTGGGTAACTTTACAGCTATCCCTTGCAGGAAAGCTTCCTAAAGTTCTTACGTAGGAAAACTGCTTCAGATTTCTATGCATCTGTATCAATATTATCTTAAATATTGATATTAAACATCTGTGTCCATAATCACATGCATTTTTTCATTTTCATCTATATTGTTTTCCATGAGATTTGAAGGGTATATCATACAATAGATGAATACAGATCATTATGCATGAAAAAATTTAAAGGTGAATTGCAAAGATTTAATTCTACATGTGAGTGGCTTTAGTGGCACTATAACAATATGGATGTTGAAGCAAAACCAAGGAAATAATATATTTTTTTGATTTCTTAGAAATAAGAGATTCTTCTGGGGTGAGTAATGTTTTCGACTTACTCTGAAGGTAGAGTTAAGCAGCTTTTGCCTCCGTTTCCCTACCAGTTTTCTTTCTGTTTGTCCCAAGTATTTCCACCCGACAGTATCCCAGGCTCACATAATACAAATAACAAACAGGTGCTGAGATCTTACTCTCAGGGACTGTGCTGGATGCTTGTCGGCCCACCAGTTAAATTAGTTACCTTATTATCTGTAATTATGGCAAGCTAAGATTTGAGTCTATGGTTGCGCAGCTCCAGATCTGTACTTTAACCATTATAGCCTATTTCTTCGTCTGGTCCTTAGATAGCAGAAACACAGTTTTGTTGAGATGTAAGTGATGATTGTTTCATTTTAAATTAGTGGCCCTGTGCAGCAGCTTAGTCGGTCTACCTAGAGAGCTGCAACATTTTTTATTATTCTCATTGTTATAAGGATATATTTCACGTTTTTTTAAAAAAACATGTATTATCTGTAGCAGATGGTGCCATATTTAATCCCAATAGATTGTGTATTTATATTTACATTAATAAAAGCAGATTATCAGGATTATGGAATACTTATTATTTCATAAGCTATTTGACTGTGATATAATTACCAGTTTTTGTTGAGTCACCCTCAGTATTCTAATTGACAAAGCTTATGGAAGACACTCTTTCTTACAAAATCAAAGAGCTGGTTATAATGTTAGTCAGGTATTAAAAGGGGCATTACGAGTTCTCTAATTCAGGTCTCGTGATTTTCAAATTATAATTCATAAATCCCACATGAATTAGCTCTATAATGCCATTTTTTTAGAGTATTAGCGATAACATGAGAGAACTAAATACCTTCGTAAATTTTATTTTCTGTAGATAATATATGGAAAGTGTAAGAAGTTATTTTAATTTTGATAGATTAACTATATTTAACTGCATAAGCAAATTGTTAATAAAATATCATTTAGGAGGCTGAATTATGTTGATTAATCTTTTGCTATACCTCGGGAACAGAATAGATCATATTTCAATGGACAGAAATTTAACTGGCTTTTTTTTTCCAGTATAGTTGAAACACAATGTTTACATTAGTTTCAAAAATTTAACAGTTTTGTTTATTTATCTATACTGCTTTCAGAAAGGGCTTGTGAATCTTGCAAGGAAAACACAGTGCTGTTCTAATCATTAACATTTACTAAAATACGTAAGTCAAGTAACAAAGGGAGAGAGAAAAGGGAGCAATGACAGCAGACAAACCACACTGGGAAAAGCTACATTGTCAGCACAAAGCTTGGCTCTGAGCTTTATTGCAGCCCAGGAATAGTAAATTTAATGCTGGTTTAATGAAAATAGTTCATAATAGCGATATAGTAAAACCTTATTAACTTTGATTAATTAAGGAAAGTCTATCCGAATTTGAAACTTAAGTTATATCAACATACCCTAAATTGTATAATTTTATATGCATATAGGTCACTGAAGCTTCCTCTAGGAAATATATGGAGGAGACTTGTTTTAAAGAACAGATAAAAGTGACTTATAAGTAATATACTGTATAGCTTGTTTATATATAAGGAAACACTAAAGCCATTGATCTCCACAGGTACTTCATAGGTATTTACCTTACAGAGTTTAATTAGTGCTCTTGAAATTTATTTGTATAATTTAGCCATCAGAACTATTTCTTAAAGCAATTCAGAAATAATCTTTAGACAGCCTCTGAACTAAATAAACAGCACTCTAAGACAATACAGCTCTCTATGGTAATCTATTGTTAATAGATGCCACATTTTAAATAATGCAAATCTGAACTGGTAAGATTTTTGAATCTTTAAGCAATTGAAATTTAGCTTATAGTGAAAATAACATTGATTACATTAGAGAGACAGTAGAGCACAGGCTCAGGAGCCAGATTTTCAGAGTTTGAGTATCAGCTCTGCCATTCATTATCTGCCTGACCTTGAACAGGTCCTTAGCCTCTGTGTGCCTCAGTTTCTTCATTTGTGCCATGGGGATAATAGGAGTAATGGCCACATGTGATTGTTATGGGGATCAAATGAGCTAAAACATGTCGCCACTTAACAGTATATGAAATATACTAAATCCTCATGAAATAAAACTGTGCTTCGGAAGTCAAGAGGGAAACAACATATCTTGAGACACTCTGTGCTATGTCCATTATAAGTGTTGCTCCCATTTAGTCCTCATTACATTTCTGCAGGTAAGTTTCATACTGTTTTCCAGAGGAGGAAGCCATCTTAGAGAGCTTCATTGACTTGCCTCAGGTCATGGCACTAAGAAGAGCAGAACAAGATTCCACTGCTCATGGTGTCTCATACCATATCCACTACCATGCTGCCACATCTAGAGTTTTCCCCTAATCCATATGGAATTGCTGAAGCGTCTCAGTAAAACCGTGTACTTCAGAGGAGCGTTTTACTCAAAGCCATAGTTCTGTCAGAAAGTTAAAATGAAGATGGTTGAAATGAGCACAGATTCACTTAATATTTAATTGTGTGAAATTTGAAAAACTTTGCTACTCATCTTTAACATTTATCCCACTTGTATTGTGTGTGTGCTCTAAATAGAATGTAGCATAATGATTTGCCCTTCCTAATTGATTATTTTGTCGTCTTTTTCTTTTTTTCTTTTGCTATACTTGGGTTCATTCTGAAATGTGACACTTCATTTGGCCCTTTGTGCTCTATGTCAGCGTCTTCAACTTTATGGATACCATTCTCCTACTAATAGTGTATGTACAATACTTTAAATGTTCTTTATGTAAATATCCCTCACCTGTTGTACTTGATGATGTTATTTCTTTGTATCCAGCTATATCTACTATTGAAAATGTTGAGGAATTTATTGAATATAATAAGGTGCGGCCAAGCCAATTTTTTTTATTTCCTTCCTAGATTTATAAGAAGACTAAAATTTACAAAGCAGGTGTATATCTTTAACTTTAGATTAAAATAAGGGAAAGGTGAGTGAACAACTACCAAAAGCTCTGATAGAATAATCAAAATTTTATATTTTTCAGCAGTATTTGAAGAGTTAAATACAAATTATGGAGCAGATTCTCAGGCTATGCTCCTGCAGAACACAGGTATTTTAAGTACTAGATCTCTCCGTCTGATAACAGTCTTTCTCAGTTCTGATAAAGAGGAATATTAATAGACTTTTCTTGGTCATCACTATTTCTGTAAAATTTTTCTCAAATCTTGAATGCCTGCCTACGGCCTGTGGTCTGTACAAAAGTCTGGTATGATACTTGACATGTTTACTATATCATGTTATTTCTCGAAGAGGATTACCACTTTCAGACTCTTCTTTTCTTGAAAAAGTTGACAGTTCTGCAAAGGATCTTCCATATATGCTTATGCTCAGTTTTCTTCTCCTTTCCTTCCTCCTGGAAACTCAGAGCTTGTTGGTTAGCCCAGCTACTAACAACGGAGCATATAGGCCATGGCCCCTTTTGAATGTAAACATGCACAGTTCATTTAGTTTCCCCAAGGATCCTTAAGTCATTTAGAAGGATCCTTCAGTAAACAAAGTCCCCCTGAGAGAAGCCCCTGAGTTCAGGGTTACTGACTCCGTCTCCTGCTGAAAGTGTTAGAGTTACAGTGTGCAAAGCAGGCGTGCGGTCTCCTGTGTCGGAGACTTAGCCAGAATTCCAAACTATAAAAATTAACTCTGTTCTAGCTTTGAACATACACTGGAGGATGATTCAACATAAAATAAACCCACGGTATCTTGCTTCAGTCACAAGGAATGGACCTAGAATGGGTTGGAGAACAACCCAAGTCCATGGGACCCTTCTGACTACTTGTTTTGACACCTTACAAGTGTTTTAAATTTTTACTACAAAGTTCACTACTTTTTCCATTAAATACAGTTTTCCATTTTCTTGAAAATTTTAATGTTCCTCTGTTAATCATTTCAAAGCTTTGTGAGAATAGATAAAATGAAAATCTCACAGGTTATTTTTTTTAAGTTTATTTATTTTGAAAGAGAGCGAGTGACAGAGCGGGGAAGGGCCAAGAGAGAGGGAGAGAGAGAGAGAATCCCAAGCAGGCTCCACACTGTCAACGCAGAGCCCGCTGTGGGGCTAGAACTCATGAACTGTGGGAACATGACATGAGCCAAAACCAAGAACCGGACACTTAAACAACTGAGCCACCTAGGCGCCTCCATTTTTTTTTAAGTTTATTTATTTAAAGAGAACGAGTGAGAGAGTGGGGGGTGGGGGGTGCAGACAGGTAAAGAGAGAGGAAAATCTCGCAGATTATATGTACTGTGAAACTTAATAAATGTTAATACTTGTGACTTTATTACTTACTTTTCTAATCTCATGTGTCATTGAATGAGCCATTTTTCCAACTGTGGCATTTTATATTTTTCCTTTAAACTCAAATGATTTTCATATAGATGATTTTCAGAGTACTCTTGTCAAAAGGAAATAGATACTAACATAGCTCTAGTTTAAACTACACATACAAATTGCAATCACTCAGACATTAGTTGAATAATATTGAGAAGTAGATTTAAATTGTCTATTTCATTTTTATTATGCTTGTGTATTTAATAAGAAAGCAAATATATGACTTTCATCTTATTGTAATATTTTAAAATTTTTTATCACATATTTTAACTGAAAATATTTTTTCCATCTAAGAATATAAAATACATATTTTAAAGTGGTGTAACTTGGTGTCATTTTTATCCAGTCTTATTAAATGGATTACATGACTTTTTAACTCCCTTAGGTCTTAGTTGGTTATATAAACTGACTTTTTTTTCCCTCTGATAGAGCAGTTTTTGCTCAGAAAGGTATGATTACTTTCAAAACAATACAAGCAAACAAGGAAAATGTGTTTACAATTAGAAAAAAAGGTCAGTTGGCCTGAAAATTTATATCAAATATCATTAATGCATATAGTGCACAAATGTATTAGTACGATGTTACAAATTTACTGGCAGTTATGTGCTAGTTTCCAAAATTGTACATCAGCTGGAATGCTAAAGTGCACAGTGTGAGTATAGTTCACGGAGCTGAATGCCGCCGGATTCAGGAAGGGTGCAGGGACCCTCCTAACTTTGACTATAGAGAGATTCTGTGGCCTCTGTAAGAGCCTCTTACAAAATTCAATCACCCTCACAGTAGATTCTGCCTGTGTTATGTCAGATTATTTCTTGCCATCCTATAAGGTTGAGCATACTCCTTTGTATCCAAGAAGATAGTTACTTTGTTGCCTTTTCTGTTGCAAACATCTGTGATTCTCTCCATGTTTCTCATATATTCAGCTCTTGATTATCTGGCCACAGCAATGAAAATAAATGTAAAAAACGCAAAAGAATAAATAGTGCAAAATCAAGTATATTTTACTTTGAAATACCCTATTTGATTTTTAAAAACTTTTTTAAAGATTGTTTTAATTACTCTGATTCCATTGTAGTCAGAAAATGCACCAGTTTTTATACAGTTTTTGACATGACTAAAACAGTGTCTCTGTATTCTCCAATATGGGTGCAGGGTTGTATTCTGTGTAAGATCAAACATGTTAATATGTGTTTTAAACCTCTATCATTATTAATGTTTTTGTCAGCTTGCTCTGTCAATTAGTATTTTAAATTATACATTACAACGATAGACCTAATTTCTGCTTGTAATTCTGTTATTTTTAAATTTTATATATTTTGAAGCATTGTTACTGCCTCTCACAAGAATATAGATTTCTTACATCTTCTTAGTTAATTGAATTGTGTCTTTATATACTATCCCCAGATCTCTAGAAATGGGTTTTTTTGCCTAAAAATCAATATAGTTGTCAAAATAAATATATCACCTCTAGTCTTATTAATATTTTGCATTATTTTCTATTTTTTTGAGTTTATTTATTTGTATTTTTGAGAGAGAGAGAGAGCACAAGCTGGGGGG